TTCAGTGCTCTTACACCCATGATTAGATTGAGATGGCACCTGGGGGAAAAAACAACAAGTAGGGGAGATGTGTGTGTGTGTGTGTGTGTGTATACATATATATACATATATGTATTCATATATATGAGAGAGAGAGAGAGAAGTAAATCCCCAAACAGGAAACTTTTAGTCCTGTTCCACCTTCTAGTATTGAGCTTTCATAGGCCTCTTTGTTCTGGGGGCTCAGAACCTGTGCTCCTAATGCCAAGAACAGAGAGTCAATGTGATGCAGAACAGTGTGGTTCTGTGGCCATAAAATGTCCTCATAGTCCCATCTGCCAATCCCGAGAAAACCATGCATTAGAGAGGTTTGGGGCCACAGCCATTATGACTGGGTACACCATAGATGACAGTGTGATGGAATTATGGACGAAATTGTAGCATTTTTGTTTTTCACTTTTATAAGTAAAAAACATGTCTACAATGAGTATGTATTAGTCAGGATAAAAAGCTCAATAGCTGATATTAACATATTCTAAGAACCAGAAATCAAGTTTAAGAAACATTTTACACCATGGCAGAATCAATGGAAAGATGCCAAATACAATCCCAGAAGTCAGTGGCTCTGAGAGGTATTAGAATCACTTGTGTTCATCAACTCTGTGGTGGGCTTGCTTAAAAATCTGTCCCCTTTCTCTGCCATACCAACTGGAAGACAGCACCAAAGCCAGTCCAGCTGGTACACACCAATGGTTTCTATACGTGCTGAAATCACCTCTCACTCTGACTCATCACGTTTACCAGGACAGCACTGGATGTGTTCACGGGGATGTTTAGTCCCAGGAGCAGACAGAACACTTTCAGAAAAGCAGCTTCACTGGAACTGAAAGAAACAACCGACTGTCACATAAACCACACCAAAGAATGACTAGGGTGTGTATTTCTCCCCACTTCTTCCCTTGGATACTTGCAAATCAGTTCATGAACACTCTCAGCATAAGCTAGGTGAATATGTTCCTTTCTAAATGCCTCTAAATGATCTATTTGATTTTTTGAAGTCTGACATTGGCTCAGGTAGACATCTTGGGAATCCTAAACTGCACATTCTTCCACTAAATCAGGACAACCCCACATGATGCTTTCATGCCAGGCCTTTTACCGTAAGTATGGACCAATACTGAGAGACAGTCTTCAGGTACCCTCTCCCCTTGGAAGGAAAGGAAGCACTGCTGGGTGGAAATGCCCAGTGGGAGAATAGACCAACATGGCGCCAGGACCAAGAGTGCTACACAGGGATGTGAGGTCAAGGAAGGCTGGTCTTGATTTGGTGGAGCTGTCCAGTCTTTGTGACTTCATAGTCCCTAGAGGTCAAAGGGTAGAGTTGCTGAAACGCTAGGACTTGTGGGAAGGTTGAAACTGGAATGGGTGCAGTCTTTCATTTTTTTAAATTTTGATGCCGGTGAGCCACAGACTTCCTTATGAAACCTAAAGCCACAACAAATAAAGATGGGGGCTACTTGGAGTCTATCTCTACCCTTTCTAGATATGAAGTACTTAACTATTTTAGCTGACTAAGGTAGGTTCAGAGGCAAGTAAAAGAGGGTAGGAAGAGAAGAAACAGAAAAAGAAACCATAACTCACAAAATGAGGGGAGAGAAAAATGGGATCTCTCTCTAGGCAAACATGCCACTTTTCTGAATCCCTAATCTTGGAGGGGAGAAAAAAAAAAGTTGAAATGGGCCCTGTGCTCAAGGTTGGCTGGCTTGGAGCTCACAGCGTAAGCTTGATAACATACTTGCATGCACACACCATAAGGAATTTGAACTTGATCTGGATGGGAACTGGGGGTCTTATAGAGGCCACTGACCCTAAGCCCCTCTTTAGGTTTGATTCTAGTTCAATTTGGAGTTAGCAGCGTCTGGCTTTGAAAGCCTCACAGGTCAGGTCTCTATTTTGCTTCTTCCTCAGCTACCTTACAGTCAGGAGGCTTCAGGAACTGGTCGGAGGGGTGTGGTTTAAATCTATGGTCAAGCCCCTTTGCTGAGAGAATCAAAGTCACCTGGGCTCTTTTCCTATTGGCTAGGACTTGCCTCCTAGACAGGGGCTTCCATTTTGACCATGTGCCTGGCCATGTTACTGTTCCCAAGCAGGACAGACCCCAGAGTGCTTGTATCTGTACCTTTCTGACCCCAATATCAGAGAGCTAAAAGGCCCTGCTCTGCAGATGTGGAGATGACACAGATGCTCTACCTCCCCAGAGTCCTTCTGACATCTCAGGGATGCTCAAATTTCAAAGGGATGCAGTAAATTTCATTAAAGTTTCAACACAAAGATAAGTACTGGATTGGGCAGATGATATACTTGTAGCAAGTATGTATAGAAAAAGAGGGTATAAATAATGATAGTTCTATGCGCTAGTGTCTTCAAAAATGGTTACTAAAGAAGTTTAAACAGTTGATAGAAATTTGTCCCATTTAGAATTGTTTCCCCCACTTTTCTGCAACTGGAAAGAAGCTGGAATTTGCATCTAGTCACAGATAAACCTCTGCCCTAAATGGATGCTCACAGATACTTGCTCTCCCTGTCTAATTCAAAGTGCTTGGTAAAAAGTCACAAGGCCTCTCAATCTGAGATACTATTTTTCACTCTTCCCGTCTCCCAAGTACGCCATTTCCCTAAAGGGAGAGATCAAACTTTCAAAGAAAAATGAAAATAAAATTCCCAATTAAAAAACTAGGGTTTCCTGAAAATTACTTCCCTTCTCATAAGGTCTTAAAAACAATCCTTGGAACCTCCATCAGAAGCCAAGAGCACTTCTTTCTACCCAGCTCTCCTCCATCGCCCTGTACACCCATAGCAAGGGCACTCACACACTAGACCTTTTGCAGAAGCTGACTGGGCTCCCTGGAGAGGGAGTCTTGAGTAGGGCATCCACACTTGCGTGCAGGTGTGTACTAACACAGACAAGCAAAATGCACCAGAGATACACACAGCATCTACACTCAAGCCCATTCACGCGCATCAGATGTCATAGCCAGATATGGATTACACACACACCGTCAAGAAGAGCAAATGACAGGCTGGACTTACACGGATGCAAGGTGCCAGGGCCAGTGGTCAGTAGATAAGAAGAGGGGAGAGCTGGTTGGAAGACAGGTGAAGAAACAGCAATGAGGAAGGCAGGCTGCTGAGTGTTGGCAAAGTTCCCAAAGCATATGAGCTATTAAACAGCTAGATTCTCTGCTGCAAGGTTAACGGTGGCTATGTCAGCTCAGGGATTCTCTCCCTGCCTCCCCTGGGGCTGCTGGGCACCAGCAGGGCCCCTGAGGTGACTGAGCTACTCCAGCCCTACAGCATCCACAACTCTGATTTCTCTCCACTCACCGGCACCTGCCGCGCCATTTTGCTCAAGTGGGCCTGAGACACCGGGGTGGATTTATTTCACCTCTGTTTGGGTGCTAGCTACTAAGACAACTATTTTGGGATTCATGGCCTTGAATATCAAGAGGAAAGAGAAGAAGATGGAAAGTCAAGAGTTCTCCATTAATTTACACAATATCATACAAATTTGAGCCCATGGGTAATGGAGGTGTTCTCTCTGCATGTGACTCGTTTTCCTTCATCTGTACAGACGTTACCCCTAGGAAAGGGGTAGATGTCCAGTGACAAAGGACAGCCCCCCATGATGGGGAGTGAAGGTCTTGTTTGGTATACGTACTTGTACAACAGCAACCAGAGGCGACATTCCTTCTCCCTCCTGAACTGTGTGTTCCCCCCTCTTCTCTCATGGCTTTTGTGCCCAGCTGTGTCTTGAACTTCCAAAATTAGAGGACTAAATCCTGTGGCGATCCAGAACTGTAATGTGCAGAGCCACAGGGTCCTCTGGCCCAGTGGTTTTGTTCTCGGTTCTGCTCTCTGGGAATTTCTGTTGTACCAAAAATAATAGAAAAAATGCAACACAGATAATAAAACCTCCCACTCAGGCAGCATCCACCACATGTGCGTTCTCTCTCTCTCTCTCTCTGTCTCTCTCTGTTTTTCTTCAGGCATCTGCAGCTGCAGCACCAAGTACTGGCATCCATAGAGGCCTGCCTCTCATACTTTCTAGGAATCTGGGCTTCCATCTCAGCCATGAAACCACCATAGTGATAGAGAGACAATGGTCAAAATGCAATATTTCCATTTAAAAGGCGGAAAAGAAATAAAGGAAACCACCCAATGTTCACACACACACATACACACACACACTCACACCTCATCACACCACTACTCCAAGGCTCTGATCTGCCCAGGGAGTGCAGGTGGGGAGGATGGGGTGGCCTCTTGTTAACTGGGCGTAAGGCAGCTGGAAGGTAAGACTGGGCTTTCTGAGCATCCACTGAAGTGTCCTTTTATTGGTGTGGATCTTGCCTCTCAGCATGTTCTCTCCCCTTCCCACCTCTAAAATTTTGTCCGAAAGTTTGGCCACAGAGAGAAAACTTCCTTCTTGGTTTGTTTTCTCGTCTACTCCTTGTGTGTTGCTGGTGGGCCAGGAAGGAGCTCAGACAGGAAGAGCAGGAGAAGTGGTACTGAAAATGGCCTTGAAGATGTGGTTCCGCTCTATGAACTAGGGGGCCACGCTTCCCTGGGATATGACCGCGGGGTGGTGTCCTCTCCTGCTGGCCCAGTGCGTGGCACTTCCTTCTCACATCTGGGTTGCTCCAGACCACTGCCACTGTCCCTTCCAGCTCCCCACCACGTGCTCATGAGTGACGGGGATCAAGATGCTATTGCAGGTGGTGATGTTTGCTTTGTCTTCAAGAAACTGTGAAGCCAAAAGTCAAGAATTGATGGAAGAGCCACAGGATGGGAACACTTTCCCCATCTTGGTGATGAGGCAACACAAAGTCCGGCGAGATGCAGGTGCCTGAGCCAACTCAACTCTACCTTGGCACTGGCATCATCTTGATTTAGTTTTGTTTTATATATGTATATTATATATATATTTATATATATATATATATATGTATGGGTTTGTTTTTTTAGCACACTGTCCCATTCTCGGGTCTGGATTTAGGGCAGTTGGTCCTCGGGACAGGTTGGACAGAAGGGGCCAAGGTACAGAAGAATCCCGAGATTAGCGTGAGGCCCAGGCCCCCCCACGCACAGAACATGGACCATCCATAGCCATGGCTGATGTCATCGGGGAGTCCATACAGGTAGCGTGGGTAGCGTGACAGCTCAAAGTTGATCCCAGCCACACAGGTGCACAGTGAAATGATGCAGAAGGTTCCTGGAGAACAAGGGGAAAAGTTGGGGTGGGGAAACGGAGAAGGAAAGGGGAGGGGAGAGGGAGGGAGAGAAAAATTAGGGTTATTACATTTTCAAGTTTCTTGAGGAAGAAAAATGAGAAGATCCAGGTTAGAGCAGATGATCACAGAGGTCACCATCTGGAATATTCACAGGGAAGACAGTATTAAGGGATCATCACTTCCTTACTCTAAAAATTTCCCAGTCTTGGACAAACTCAGGAAGTCTCTTCTTCTGGAAAACACCCAAAATAACTATCTCATTAGGAGTTTTGTGGAGGGGGAAGTGAGGCAGGACAGCATTCAGTTCATTTTTCTAAAGCATGTTAAATTCTTTTTCTTTCTTTTTTTAAATAAATATATTTTAGTTGTAGTTGACACAATACTTTTATTTATTTATTTTTATGTGGTGCTAAGTATCAAACCCAGGGCCTCGCAGGTGCTAGGCAAGTGCTCTACCACTGAGCCACAACCCCAGCCCTTCATTTTCTTTCTTTGAAAAGAGAAAGCTTCCCTCTTTGTACTTATTTAAAGTTCTTTCTGATACATAACATCTTATGCAGTATTATTTCTCCAATCTATTCACTAACAACTCTTTGGCCAGAAGGAGAAAACTTCTTTCTCAGTTCGTTTTCTCAGATTGCTAACTCCTGGAAGTCATTTTTCATTTCCAATAAGACAACATTTCCTAAAGCATTCTCCATGGAACACCAGCCCTCTGAGACCCTCCTTTGCAGTGTGGGGTGGGAGGGGCTGAGTCAAAACAGTGGGAGCCTGAATATGCTTTTTCATTCAGGAAGACTCACAATCCATGTTGGCACAAGTTCACTCAAATCACCTAGTTCTAAGAGCTTTTTCACAAGCTTGTTTGGTACTGGGACCTCCTCTTAATGTTATTCATATTGACCATCAATCAGAAGACTGCTATAAGAGGTAGAATAGGATAAAATATTTTAGAATCAAATCCATTTTTAACCAGTATAAATATTTGGTATACCTATGATGAATTCAAGAACTTGTTCTCTTATGTTTTTTTTAACCCCCAGTGACCTGCAGAAGTATGTACAGTTTGGGAGGGCTGGACTGGGTCAATGAAAGGAGGAAAGAGAGGCGTATTTTTTAAGGGGAGGGAACAAAAGTGGTGCATTATGTTTGACATTGACTACACAAACTCCTTCCTGCTTCCAAACAGTCAAGTTTCTTGAAGGTCCAGCCTATGTCTTCCAGAAGATACCTGAAGGACAAAGGGGAAGAGTGGAGTAAGATAACGAGTTTGTGATCATTTAAGTGGCCACAGCAGCTGCAGTGATACCCAGACACAGAGTAAGGGCGTGTGCTGGGAATTATGCTAAGTGCTCAGCAGGTATTGAAACTTTAATTCTTAAAACAACTCTATGTAATGGGTCATATTATTATCCCATTTTACTGATGAGGGTATCAAGGCCCAGAGAGGTGAAGTCAGCCAGACCACGGCAGCCAGACCACGGCTTGGGGTCTTCTCCATTTTCTATTTAAGACTGGCCATCAGGCAAGGTGGTCTATTCATAGAAACACCCTCCCCACGTATGATGGTCCACTTAGGCTCCAGCTCAATGTGGACTGGTGGGCTGTAGTCCTGGAGGGCTAAAGCAGATGACTGGGTCCCATCCCATAGTCTCAGGTTCACAGGTCTTTGTGCTCTTAACAAGTTGTTGGAGGATGCTGATGCTGAGGGTCAGGTGGCCATACTTCAGAACCATTGGGTTAGGAAAAAGGTTTTATTGAAGAAAGAGGAAATGTAATAGGTCAAAGTTCAGAACACAGAAGCAGAAATAAAAATAGGCAATGAAGGTAAAATTTTACCCATAATCCAAGAATTGAAAGTTCAAAGTATAATGATAGCTTATGATCTATCAAATCAGTAAAGTTTTAGTTTGATTTTTGTTTTGCCCTGTTTTCTAAATGATCATCTCCAGAAGTAGTAAGGGTACAAAAAAGTGGACCCTCCCATAGACTCTAGGGGGACTGTAAATTTGTGTATACAATAGTTATACCTTTGACTTAGTGATTTCATTTTAGGTTAAGAAAATAATCCTACCTGGGAACAAAGATCAGGAACAAAAATAGTTTATGTGGTGGAGCATGTAGGGAGGAGGGACTGACAGGAGCCCTGATACTGGGATGAGCACTATTTCCTGAGCTAAGAGGTTTGAGCTTCACATGGAGTCAGTCCTTGGAGGGGTCAAGGCATTCTGATGACTCCAATGTGCATTTTCAGAGACGACTAAGCCAGAAGTACAGAGAACAATCCAGAGGTAGGGAGACCAGCTAGGAGGCCACTGTGGGCATGAGAAGAGAGGAGGATCTGGAAAGACTGGACCAGAGTCTGGAGATCCTAATGGCTTAGTGAATAATTGCTTCAAGAATGATTAGTTGTAGAGACAACGGGAAGTGATGTGCCAGGACACAAGTGCAGTATGTATATGTGTCATGAATGTCTGTGTGCATGAGTATGTGCTTATGTGTGTTCATGTGTATATTTGTGTGTGCATGTGCATGTATTCCATGTGTGTACATGCTTGGGGGGGCAGCAAAGTATACACACAGCCATTACTTGTGAGAATAGTAAGGATGGTCCCAAATCTGTGGGAGTCGCAAAGCAAATCATTCCCTTGTGTTGTGACTAGTTCTCAGAGTGAATTCTTTGATGGTTCCCAAGGTGGACTAAGTCTCAACTCAGACTTCCTAAATCCAAATCTCTTGGGGGATAATATGGGCATCATTAGTTTTTTAAAAGTTTCACAGATGGTCTATGGCCATACCACCCTGAACGCGCCCGATCTCGTCTGAAAGTTTCTCAGATGACTTCTGTAGATCAGCCTTTTGGAACCCTCATGTTGGAGCAGAGGTGCTTTGTACTACCTGGAGACACAGCTCGAGGTAGGAGAGGGCACACGACAGTCCATGGGGTACAGCCAAGGGGAAAGCAATTGCCTGGGTGTGGCAGAGCAAAAGAAAACTGTGTCTTGACATGATTTTCAAATATTCCAAATTCTAACAAACAAAACTGGCCTGTTTGTGTCTCAGATAGTGCGGCTATGTTTCTGACTGCTAGCCTGAGAACCTATCATTGAATGTTCAAGTATAAAATTTGCTAACACATAGATTTAAGACAGAATGAATGTGTGTATGTGCTTGCACACACGTACATACATACACAGTCACCTGCCCAGTGGGGTGAGTTCAAATTTGAGCTGTCCATGGGATGTTCAAGGTACTGAGAAACACGGATCTGGAGCAGTATAGAAAGTTCTGCCTGGAGATGTGGACCAAGTCAGCCTCTTATAACTTGAAGCTCTGGAGGTGATGAGGTCCTGTGGAGACTTTACATAAGCCATATTTACAAAGGACACTTTGGAAAATGGGAACATTTCTTCTCATAGCAGCTGTACTGTCCTCTTCATGAAGTCCAGGGATTTGTTTTGGGGGAGAAGGTCCATCTCAATGGAGTGTCGGCCTTCCCAGGCTGCCTGTGGCTGCAAGAGCTTGATATACACAATTTTCATAGCGTATTCCACCAGCAGAATGGACAAGACACAAAGAATGTGGTTGATAAATTGTGAGTGGAGAGAAGGACCATGTGGACCCAATTTCCAATGGGAAATGACTTCTAGAGAACATACATCTTCTTACGTTATGCTAATGGAGTTAGTTGGGGCATTTTCCTGCCTTCACTTCCTATAAGTTGTACTGTGCCTTTGGAACTTTTCAAAATTCTTCTTTTCAATATTCCTAAAGATAGAAAAACTTCCATGGCTCTCACTCAAGATGGTCCTCTAAGTTGGTAGGTCTGTGAGAAATGTTTGAGGATAATGTGTAGACCCGTTTCTGGATTTGTCTAAAAGCCCTCTTAATAAAATGCCCAATTAAAAAAAAAAAAGATGGCCCTTTAAGCCACTTATCTGCACAACTTGCCAGGAAGTTTCCCTGCACAAGAAGAGAAGAGTTGGAACAAGTTTTGTTTCCACATATGCTACTCTTTCTGTTATGAACAAGGATTTATATTTTTATATACTTCTCTACTAATAAATTCAAACTGAAAAATGTGTTTTAATTGTTAGAAATGGCTAGAATTGGGCATGTACTAGATCCTCAATAAATGAATCAAATGAATAATGAGTTGCCCTTGTTCCTCAGCATTGGATTCTGATAGTTTAAATCACAAGGTGCTTCAACAGATATCAATTGAATCCTGGGGAGTGGGGGAGGGGAAGACAGAGAAGCAAGGACCCTGCCTGAATGATCTCCATCTAAGGCAATGGGCACAACTCTGCCAGTAAATTGGTGGCTAATCGGGGAGTGTGGGGTGCATAATTCCCCCCAGCAACTTGCTGGGGTTAGGTGGGGGCCTTTGGGAAATTAAACAAAGATGTTAAATGGCTCTGATGGAAAAGATGTCTCCACGAAAGGGCAGCAAAAGGCATCATAGCATGGAAGTTGCAACCCAAAGTCCCATGGGTGGTGGCACAGGGCTGGGGATTGCTGAGGAAACATAAGGGAGATTCTGCTCAGAAAAGTTCAGGTCCAGCCCACTCTATGGGAAGCAGGAAGTAGCAGACAAGGCCTCTGAGGCTAGGTCTTTATGCTTGGTCATTTAATTTCTCATGAGTACTTAGCAATAGATAAGTGAGGATACAGGAAAGGCAATAGTAATAACGCATGGTACTATCTTCTTAACAATACCTCCCATGGGTTGGGGTTCAGGCCTAACTCTGATCATACTCCAATTCTAATTGTAGTTCTAGTGCAGCAATTAAGTGACAAGAACTCTGCCCACTTGGAGCAAGGCTGTGGTATGTGCTGCAGACGCTGGCTGTGAATCATGACAAGTATGACTCTGGCTAGGGCAATAGTGGTGCTTGTGGTAAGCAATGTCAAGTCTGGGGGTGGGGACAGATTGGCCATGATTGGGTGGAGGGGACAGTTCCTGTGGCAGGGGGATCCA